AGCGGCTGAATCAGGACGCCTGGGGCAGAGCAGATGGGGTGCTGCTGGGTTGGTCCTCGGCACTACTGGAGCAACCCAGCAGCACCCCAGTTGCTCTGCCCCAGACGTCCCCAAGTCAGCCGCTGCTGAAACTGACCAGCGCTGACTACAGGAAGCCCGAGGTACAGTTGCTCTGCCCCGTGCTTCCTGGAATCAGCTGCTGATCAGTTTCAGCAGCAGCTGACTTGGGGACGCTTGGGGTTCTTAAGTTGATTCTGTATGTAAGTCAGAACTGGCAGTCAGTTTCAGCAGTGACTGAATCTGGACGCCAGTTCCGACTTACATACAGCTTCAACTTAAGAACAAACCTACAGTCCCTATCTTGTACATAACCCGGGGACTGCCTGTATTATCAAAATAATTTTTAAAGATACTGAACAGAACTGCATGTTAGAAGATAACTGCAGGACTCTATTTGATATGCCTTGTTAGTTTGACTGTGAATCATTGATTACTCTGAGTACAGTTTCCAACCAGTTGCATCTGTATTATCATAGGTTTGTCCTAGGTAATACTTCCCTCATTTGCTTATGAGAAAGTCATGAGAGACAGTATTAAAAGCCTTACTACAGTCTAGATCAGTGTTTTTTAAAGTGTGTGCTGCAGAGAACAGAGTTCAAAATGGCCTCCCTTAAAAGGGTAAACTTCTTTTTTTCCCTCAACAAAAAATCCTTGGTGTTCTGCATATATATATATATATATATATATTGGTTGGTTTTCCTTGGTCTTAAAAAATTTAAGAAACACTGGTATAGATATATTGCATCTACTGCTTCTCTCACTCCACAGGGCTCGTTATCCTGTCAAAGAAAAATATTAGGTTATTCGCTTCTAGATACTTACAAATTCATTGTTTGATTTCTTTTTTTTCTCCATTATCTTTTAGGGTATTGAAATTAAGATGGCTGGTCTATAATTCCCTGGGTTTTCATTAGCCCCTTCTCCCCCCCCTCCTTTTTTTTAAATACAGATAATTACTATGATAATTTTGTTTAATCTTCTGGGATCTCTCCCATCCTTCATGACTTGTCTCAGATTATCACTAATGATTTGATGAACTCTTCATCCAGTTCTTAAGACTTCTAGGAAGCATTTTGTTGGGTCCTACTGACTTGAAGGCATTTAAGTTATTCTTAATTTGTTTCCCCCCATTCAAGCCTCAGAGCCTACTTCATTTACACTGGTGTTCAGTATGTTAGTTGTCTGATCACCGTTAATCTTTTTGGTGAAAATTAAACAAAAAAGGCATTTAACATTTCAGCCATTACTGTGTTTTCTGTTATTTGTATCTCCATCCCCATTGAGTAATGAGCCTATTTTGTCCTTGGTCTTCCTCTTGCTTCTAATGTGTTTGTAAAATGTTTCATGATGTACAGCACTTCAATAGCAATAATGAGATGTTTATATGTGCTGTTTCCTTAAAACTTTGTGAAGGGAGTAAATGTATTTAAAATAGTTTTTTATTAAAATATTGTATTTTGTTGTGCAAAATGTTTTTAAAGATAAATTGAAATTTGAGGTACTTTAAAGCTCCATTTGCAGTTAAGTTTTATAATATCTTTTTAACTTTGTCATCATTCTGCATAATTCCTTTGCTTACTATCTATAGCAAAATGAAGAATCATAGCTAGACTCTCTGACAGCTGCTAGAAGCATATTCATACAGTGTGTGATAGTGGTGCAGAAGGAAGGAAAATGAAGGGTTTGTTTTAATGGCTCAGTAACAGTGATTTGATAAAATAGAATTACTATAAAACGCTACTCCTCAGGCAGAATAACTAAATACTTGAAAAGCTGGCAGTTGAGAATTTAGTTTGCAAAAGATATTTTGCCACCAATTAATGTAATTTTTAACTACACAGTTACCCAAAAGAAATAAAAATTAACTTAGTGGCAGATCTGTGTCAGAAGGCGCATAGAGAATGATTGGGATATGGAGGAGACAGTGGAATTACTGTACTTTAGTATAGGTTCTCTTGTAAGGGGAGAACCTACTATATGTCTTACTACTCCTGGATAGAGGATAAAAGGAGTAAGTATTTGTTACATAAGAATTATGGTTCTCTTGGGAGGTGGACAAGTTTGAAACATGTCTGAAAAATGCCTTGATAGTATCCTCCCTTCCTATTAACTGAGGGCCAATATTCTTATACCTGTCACAGTGAATAAGTCGTGTATGGTGCAATTGATAGTTGGTTTATTTCAATGTGGCTATTTAAGGATCAAGATACCACTGAATGGGAAACAGGTGAGATAATTTGGCATTTAGAAGTATTGTTTCCTTTTATGCTATGCTTCTTGCCATAACGGCAGTTTATAGTCGCTTTAATTCTTATGTTCATTTAATATGTTAGTTAATGTAGTTCATTTAAAAAAAGGATTCTGAAATTGTAAATGAAAACTCCAATATTTTTCAAAACTAAATAAAAAATAGGAACTGATATATTCCTTCCCTCCACTAGAGGGAATCAGAAGCGCTTGAATTGGCTCTTATTCACAGAGGAAAGACCTAAGAATTATACTATTGTAAATAGTTATTTAAATGGTGGACTTCACACTCCATGTAGGCCAATCTTTAACTTTACATAAGCACTGCAGATGTTTATATAATATGTGAAAAGAGCCTGTTTATTTTCCTTTTCAGTTTTTAAAGGTTAATCTGTCTGAGAACTTACCTAAAAGTCAATGATTCCTGTTTTAGTCAGCCACCTAACATTTCTTTATTATGTTATTTTCTGTGTTAACTTCTATTGCACTGCAGCATTAGTGTTGTTATTATTAGTGTTATACTGTAAAACCAAACTGCAGGGCTGATTTTGTTTCTTCCTTAACTCCAAGCACATCTGTGCTTGTCCCAGCCAAAACCTGTCTGGAGATATAAATCCTCTCGACAAACTACAGTAAAAGGATTTTTTGCAGAAGAGAATAAACTAACTAAAGGACACATTTCAGATGTGGATACCAAGGCTGCACGAGAAACGTACATACACCTGTTTTAGCACCAACAAATGGGTGTAAATAAGTCACGTTCATTTGAAATTTTGGCTTCTAACAAGATAGCACTTAGGAGGAAATTTACCTGAAATTTTTTTTCCTATCTACTGTGCAGACATTTATTTGCTAATTCCTAATTAGGGGTTTAATCCTGCAAGGCTGCGTCTAGACTGGCATGATTTTGCGCAAAAGCAGCCGATTTTGCACAAAATCTTGCCGCCTGTCTACACTGGCCTCCAGTACTTGTGCAAGAACACTGACTTTGTAATGTACAAAATCAGTGGTTCTTGCGCAAATACTCTGACACTCCTGCTCAGGGATAAGCCCTCTTGTGCAAGTATTCTTGCGCAAGAGGGCCAGTGTAGACAGCAACGTTAATTTCTTGTGCAAGAAAGCCCGATGGCTAAAATGGCTTGCATGGATGCGTTCGCGCAAAAGCAAATCTTTTGCGCAAAGGCACATGCCAGTATAGACGCTCTCTTGCGCAAATACTTTTAACGGAAAAACTTTTTCGTTAAAAGTATTTGCGCAAAATCATGCCAGTCTAGACACAGCCCACACGTTTACTTTCAGTGGTAATGCCTGCCAACTTCAATAAATCCTACCGAACTGGATTTCTTTGGAATTAACAACAGTAAGAAGTGTATCACTAGTGTTTACATTATAGGGCAATGTACAAGGCAAATTTATTATGTGTTGGCATTATTAGAATGTTGTTTTCTTAAGAATCTCTGACTTTTTTTGCCCTTGCAAGTCCTCCCTTTTCTAGATTTGTGATAGCAGAGACCATGTTCCTTTTGTGATGGTACGATGTCTGCCATACACAAGTATCTTCAATGCTTGTTAAGAAAGAAGTCAGTATCCAGCTAGATCTGTCTCCAAGATAAATTTCTATGAGCCTTTCTACATATCAACAGCTGTCCTTGTTTAATTCTCCTTTGGCTTTAAATACCTAGAAGAAGATGAGGCTGTAGAAGGCCCATTCTCATATTTTTGGTCTGTGAATGATTCTGTCATTTGAATCCCCAGTCTCCCTAACTCAGGATTCCAAGAGTTTCCAGAAACTCTTAGGAAAGCCTAGCTGAAGTCTCTGACTTGGAGTCGTTTGTAATTTGTTACTGAGCAGTTCCATCAGCGTCTTGTTGTAACTGTGTTGTAGAACTTGCAATAGACCTCTTGCTTATTTCCCGATCCGTTCCTCCAACCTCCTAAGAGAGCTGACATTCTTTTTAAAGTTCCACAGAACTGTCATTTTTAATATTTCTTCTGTCCCTGACACTCTGGTCAGCTGTGGCTCAGAGGAATTTGATTATTATTCAAAATGTCATATTCCAATTTAGTCTTGCTTTATTTCTTTTTTAATTTGATAATATTGTTTATTAACCCTATTAAAGGGATTGCAGTCTTGAAAAATAAAAATATTTAAATTTAGAATTTAAAATACCCCCTCAACTGGTTAAAGTATTGTAGGGTATCACCTATAATTTTGAAGTCTTTATATTCCTGTAATATTCACAGTACTAGATGATAAATACATTCCAAAGGAATAAATGTTTCTATCAAGTAAAAATGCATTTTGATTTTTCTAACCTCACTCTGAGATTGACCAGGTAGGCTTATTTATTTTCTAAACAAGGTAGACAAAAAGAAAATAAATAGAAACAATCCTTGCATTTAATGTTGGAGACCTGAGAGAGAGTTTGCTTTGCAAAATGTTGTCAATAACATTTAAAATTTTAAAGTAAATGTTGTAGTCACATTTTAAACTTTTTATTTTAATCTGGTTAAATGATACTGTATATTTATTAAAAAATAAAAACTACTTCCCTTTCCACTAATCACCATCAAAACTCCCCCTTGTCTCCAAATAACATTCTTGAATGCAACTATATCATATCTATAGTGTTATGGACTGAGAGTATACACCCAGTTATAACATAAATATAGTTACAAAGTATTATAGGTGTGTCTGCTTCTTTAAAGACCATCTTCTACTTTCTGACAGATAGAGTTGAAAGAATGTCTACTAAAATTAAAGGAAGAAAGAAGGGCAAGAGTAAAGGCTGATGAACGGATAATGGAGGTAGTGATTGTTTAATGTTAAATGGTAGTTCACATTTGCCTTTATAGATATGTAAATCATATTACCTAAATATTTAGTTGGGAATAACTATCAATGATAATTAGGTGCATGTTAACATTATATAATGGTTAAATTATGTGAACTAGTTTAAAAAAACAACTACTAGGATTTCAGATGCTTTAAAATGATCAGTTCCATTCTTTTCTAGAGAGGCTCTTAATACATCCATGAACCTGGTATATCTGATCGCCTTCCAGTAGCGTATTAAGTGACATGACTTACATCCATCTCTCACTCTTTCTGCAGGGGCAGAAGTGCATACAGGGGACTGATTTGTAGAATGCTCTGTTTTTAATATACATACTGCTATATACTAGAGAAGGACAGGTTGAATAAATGCATAGTCCACTTGACATTGAAGGTGGTGAGGTTTATGTTCAGGAGGAAGTTTATTCCACAGATTTGGATTGGCCTCAAGGTTGAAGCTCATGTGTGTGGAAGACAGTACATCCTTATAAAAAGAGTTGCATAGTGTAATAAGAGCATAATTGTTGAGCATGGTGAACATCATTGAATTTGATTTGATATTCCTTGAGAAGCTAATGTGGAAAAGGACAAGCTTGGTGTCTTTACAGCAGAATGTGTTGGTGAGAGATGCACTGAAGCATTCTGTTCCTAAATACTGCAGGCTTGGTGCCCAAGTGTATTGCATTTCTATAGCCCATTTAAGAAAAGGTGTGAATAGCTGAGGTCAAAGTACTGTGTGTCACTTACCAGCTTTAGAGAAATGACAATTTGTATTTAGTAATGTGTTTTTGTGCTCTTGCTCTCTTTCAGAGCCTTGAATTCCAGTTTTAGCCCAGCTGCTGTTTCATTGTGCTTTTTAGTATTTAGTATACAGGCCATTTTGCTTGTTCAATTTTTGTTGAGTGATTAATCTTTGAATGTATGGGAATAAGGATGTTAAGAGGCAAGTAACTAGGTAATTGTGTAGGCAATACAATTTGTATCGACTTCATGATTAGTTGATAAGGGAAGGCGATCAGAAGGAGCTACCCGTGCTGTGGCTCTGCAGTTTAAATGTAGTAAGAGCCAGACGCGCAGGTAGCCCAGCTCTTACTATATTTAAACTGCAGAGCTGCAGTGGGAGTAGCTCCTGGACCCTGCACAAGCTGGCACCAAGCCAGGCTTGCTCAGTTCTGGCTCATGCCAGGTCCAGCAGCTCCTGTCCATTGTGGGGTCCCTGATATAGAGATAGCCAGGCCGGGATGGGGGAGAGGTGGAGGAATGTGAGTAGTCAATTCAACTACCCAATAAGCCTAGGCTTATTGGGTAGTTGACTAATTGACTACTCTTTTATATCCCTACATGGGAATGGTTTAATTATGTTGATGGGACATCTCTCTCATGTCAGCATAAAGTGGCTACATGAGAGATCTTAACTGCCATGCTGCTGCTTGTAAAGTCTCAAGTGTAGACATAGCCTTAAAGTTGACGTTCAAATCCTCTTCAAGGAGCATCTGAATTAACATCTCACTGAGAGGGGTGTGGGGTAAGTCATACCT